ACAGAGTGTGCCTCAACTTCGACATCGTCTCCTCGAACTTACTACACAGGAAATGTTCCTCACTTAATATTGATATGTTTGTGCACCATTTTTGCTGTAAGATTTCTTCTGTCAGGCGGTTGTTTTTGCTTCGATTTCTATTTGCTTGTTTTGTTGTTATTCTTGGGGGGGGGGGGGGGGGCTCCAACTTAACACTTGCTTTATGTACATGTTGAACTTCTTTTGTACCGTACGTACCCAACATTGCTAATCGGAGGTGCGGAGAAAGGACACACTCAACACAAAAATAAGTTCTCAAGAAATTAGTTTTTAATCTAAATTATTTAAAAGTGCACAGCTCCAGTGGCTTCCTCATATCAGAAAAAGTTCCTTACGGCCACAGAAGCGCATCTGAAAGCGCGCGATACGATAACCGTCTTTGTTCGACGATGAGCCAAAAAGCTGCTGTTGCAAGGATGACCGGATTTCGAGTGATGGTTTATGCTTCTTGACGAGATCGGCGAGGTATTGTGGTTAATTCGTTCTGTCTTGCATTATTCTAAGGTAACGTTTCTCGGATCATTTCGGTTGACCTTTGTCATTCTTGTATATTGAGAGGACCCACCCAATCCCGATCCTCAAACTCTACAACACACTCACACACACACTAGGTTCTACAACACACACACTAGGTTCTACAACACACACACACGCTAGGGTATACAACACACACACACGCTAGGTTCTACAACACACACACACACTAGGTTCTACAACACACACACACACTAGGTTCTACAACACACACACACACTAGGTTCTACAACACACACACACACTAGGTTCTACAACACACACACACACTAGGTTCTACAACACACACACACACTAGGTTCTACAACACACACACACACTAGGTTCTACAACACACACACACACACTAGGTTCTAAAACACACACACACACTAGGTTCTAAAACACACACACACACTAGGTTCTAAAACACACACACACACTAGGTTCTAAAACACACACACTAGGTTATACAACACACACACACACTAGGGTATACAACACACACACACACACTAGGTTCTACAACACACACACACACACTAGGTTCTACAACACACACACACACTAGGTTCTACAACACACACACACACACTAGGTTCTACAACACACACACACACTAGGTTCTAAAACACACACACTAGGTTCTACAACACACACACTAGGTTCTACAACACACACACTAGGTTCTACAACACACACACACACTAGGTTCTACAACACACACACACACTAGGTTCTACAACACACACACTAGGTTCTACAACACACACACTAGGCTCTACAACACACACACACACTAGGTTCTACAACACACACACACACTAGGTTCTACAACACACACACACACTAGGTTCTACAACACTCGCACACGTAATAGGTTCTACAACACACACACACACTAGGTTCTACAACGCACACACACACTAGGTTCTACAACACTCGCACACGTAATAGGTTCTACAACACACACACACACACTAGGTTCTACAACACACACACACTAGGTTCTACAACACACACACACTAGGTTCTACCACACAAACACACACACTAGGTTCTACAACACACACACTAGGCTCTACAACACACACACACACTAGGTTCTACAACACACACACACACTAGGTTCTACAACACACACACACACTAGGTTCTACAACACACACACACACTAGGTTCTACAACACACACACACACTAGGTTCTACAACACACACACACACTAGGTTCTACAACACACACACACACTAGGTTCTACAACACACACACACACTAGGTTCTACAACACACACACACACACTAGGTTCTACAACACACACACACACTAGGTTCTACAACACACACACACACTAGGTTCTACAACACACACACACACTAGGTTCTAAAACACACACACACACTAGGTTCTAAAACACACACACACTAGGTTCTACAACACACACACACGCTAGGGTATACAACACACACACACTAGGGTATACAACACACACACACACTAGGTTCTACACACACCACACTAGGTGCTACAACACACACACACTAGGTTCTACAACACACACACAGCTAGGGTATACAAACACACACACACTAGGTATACAACACACACACACACTAGGTTCTACAACACACACACACACTAGGTTCTACAACACACACACACACTAGGTTCTACAACACACACACACACACTAGGTTCTACAACACACACACACACTAGGTTCTACAACACACACACACACTAGGTTCTACAAACACACACACTAGGTTCTACAAACACACACACTAGGTTCTACAACACACACACACTAGGTTCTACAACACACACACACACTAGGTTCTACAACACACACACACACTAGGTTCTACACACACACAACACACTAGGTTCTACAACACACACACACACTAGGTTCTAAAACACACACACACTAGGTTCTACAACACACACACACTAGGTTCTACAACACACACACACTAGGTTCTACAACACACACACACTAGGTTCTACAACACACACACACACTAGGTTCTACAACACACACACACTACTAGGTTCTACAACACACACACACACTAGGTTCTACAACACACACACACACTAGGTTCTACAACACCACACACACTAGGTTCTACAACACACACACACACTAGGTTCTACAACACACACACACACTAGGTTCTACAACACACACACACACTAGGTTCTACAACACACACACACTAGGTTCTACAACACACACACTAGGTTCTACAACACACACACTAGGCTCTACAACACACACACACACTAGGTTCTACAACACACACACACTAGGTTCTACAACACACACACACTAGGTTCTACAACACACACACACACTAGGTTCTACAACACTCGCACACGTAATAGGTTCTACAACACACACACTAGGTTCTACAACACACACACACACACTAGGTTCTACAACACTCGCACACGTAATAGGTTCTACAACACACACACTAGGTTCTACAACACACACACACACACTAGGTTCTACAACACACACACTAGGTTCTACAACACACACACACACTAGGTTCTACAACACTCGCACACGTAATAGGTTCTACAACACACACACTAGGTTCTACAACACACACACACTAGGTTCTACAACACTCGCACACGTAATAGGTTCTACAACACACACACACTAGGTTCTACAACACACACACACACTAGGTTCTACAACACTCGCACACGTAATAGGTTCTACAACACACACACACACTAGGTTCTACAACACACACACACACTAGGTTCTACAACACACACACACACTAGGTTCTACAACACTCGCACACGTAATAGGTTCTACAACACACACACACTAGGTTCTACAACACACACACACACTAGGTTCTACAACACTCGCACACGTAATAGGTTCTACAACACACACACTAGGTTCTACAACACACACACACACACTAGGTTCTACAACACTCGCACACGTAATAGGTTCTACAACACACACACACTAGGTTCTACAACACACACACACTAGGTTCTACAACACTCGCACACGTAATAGGTTCTACAACACACACACTAGGTTCTACAACACACACACACACACTAGGTTCTACAACACTCGCACACGTAATAGGTTCTACAACACACACACACACACTAGGTTCTACAACACACACACTAGGTTCTACAACACACACACACACTAGGTTCTACAACACTCGCACACGTAATAGGTTCTACAACACAACACTTGAAGTACCAAGCATCACCGGTAGGGTACGGGTCACACTCCGCCCCCCACCGCAGCCCCCCACCTCTCCACCCACCCCCCGCAGCCCCCACCCCTCCACCCACTCCCCGCAGCCCCGCCCCCGCGGTGCTACGTGACCGAGCCGGCGTGCCGCGCGCGCCACGTGACCGAGCCGGCGTGCCGCGCGCGCCACGTGACCGAGCCGGCGTGCCGCGCGCGCCACGTGACCGAGCCGCGATAACTTTATTGATACCCGGCGCGGCATCGGAGCCTCTACATTTCCCAGTGCGCATCGTGCGAGGGCGGCGCCTGCACCGCCATTGGCCGGCGCCGCGCACGTGACCGCGCCCATGCACTCTACCAATTTAAATCGCGTCCTTCAGCACTTTTTTTTGCAACGCGAGGTCGTAAACTTTGTGTTGCGACGTTCACTGCTTGTGCCCGACACAAATTTCGAAGCGAAAACACAATCGTGGAAACACGAGGGCGACTTCGTAAACAATTAAAGATTTGTTGCATAAAAAAACACTTAATTATTATCTCAAGCTCCACCTTGCTCCAGCATTATAGACACATCAGGTTTCAGCAATTGCTGAGAAATGCACAGCTGTTGTGGTCTCCATTCAGCAGCGAATGGAGACTGCTGATGAACTTCATACATTTTATGCACCAGTGTAGAACAGTATTAGATCAAAGGGCCACTGCTTTAAAACATATTCAGCATTAAAAGCAGTGTAAAAACTCTTAAGTTATCATCATGGCCATCATCATCATTACTGACACTCCACGCAGATAACGACGTCATTCAACAGGGTTCTGATTAAATGAGCCAGTCACTCGGCTACACCGACGTGCAATCTCTCACATCGGACTGTGAATTTCAACTATAATCTACATATCCTATGAAATACAGTTCGTTTGTAATTAGGCCAATAATTTACTCTGGGAACAGACTGAAGCTGAAGACGCATTTCACAAGAGGGTCTCTTAGATTATTATGTTTACAAAAAATATATATTTCACGAATGAGCGTAAGGCACACGAGACATAACATCACATTAATAATTGCTAAAATGTAACCCCGACAGCTCATTGACACAGAGCACGCACGTGGCTTCCACCCTCACACACAGCGATCGTGCTGCAGCACGGCGCACGTGTGCGGCGGGGCCGCCTCTTCACCCATTCCCCTCCTCACCTCGTTGTCGATGAGCGCCTCGGCACGCACGTCGTCGTGCGGGAAGCTGGGGATGCTCTCCGTGGGGAAGGGGTAGACGCGGAGCTGCGCGTCGCTCCAGGCGGGGCCCCGCGACGCGCGGCCCGCGGGCCCCGTGCCCTCCGCGGCCATCGTCGTGGCCGAGCTCCCCCCGCCGTGTTTTGGCCGGAAGCGGGAGAGGAGCGCGCGCCACTGCGGGGTTCGAACGCGGGGCCGCCCCCCCCCCGCGCCCCCCCCCCCCCCGCGACCTCCCCCCCCCCGCGACCTCCTGCAGCGGGACACGCCCCCTCCCTCCCGTCTCTCTCACTGGAAGGGCTTGTAGATGGCCCCGCCCCCTCCCGTCTCTCTCACTGGAAGGGCTTGTAGATGGCCCCGCCCCCTCCCGTCTCTCTCACTGGAAGGGCTTGTAGATGGCCCCGCCCCCTCTCGTCTCTCTCACTGAAGCGGCTTGTAGATGGCCCCGCCCCCTCCCGTCTCTCTCACTGGAAGGGCTTGTAGATGGCCCCGCCCCCTCCCGTCTCTCTCACTGAAGCGGCTTGTAGATGGCCCCGCCCCCTCCCGTCTCTCTCACTGGAAGGGCTTGTAGATGGCCCCGCCCCCTCCCGTCTCTCTCACTGAAGCGGCTTGTAGATGGCCCCGCCCCCGAGCTACCCTGGGGGAAGCCACGCCCACTGTTACCGATGCCACGCCTACTTTGCAAATGGACACGCCCATTTTTTGCAGATGGTCACGCCCCCTCCTCCTCTCATTGTAACCGTAATGTAACGGCTCGCAGCTAACCATGCAGATGGTCATGCCCCCCTCCACATTGCATTGAGATTGTTTTGCTGCTATAAATGTCCAAATGATGATGCCACTTTGTTGAGCTGCTATCATTTGTGGTAGCCAGGTCGCGTCTGAAGAATAAGTGAGTATCTGAGTGGACTTTGCCTGGTAGGATGTGGATGGTTCAGTTTCATGCATGTGTGTTTGGGTGATTTTTTTTTACCTTTCTTGTACTTTGCACGACTATCATGTTTCTATATTACTTGTTGGTGTCACGCTCTTACCCGCCACTTACTGGACATCTGTCACAAGAGCTTGAGAGCTCACCGGATTCCTCCTTCAGGATAGATAAATAAGTAAATATGGTTGGAGGAGCCCCACCCCCTGGAGGCAGCCAACCGCTTGGCTCCTCGTGCTGGTTTGCTGCGCAGTTTAATACAGGGTGCTTCAAAATATGTTAACACTTCCGATAATTTGCAACAATACCACGAGAAAAAAGATACCAGGCATGCGTTGACAATGATGACGAATAAGTGGAAGGCTCTTTGACTTTTTTAATCTATTAACATACATTTGTTTTCATTTAACAGTATATTGTCCGTTCTTTTTCCATTAAAAAAGCAAAGCCCATATCAGTGTTACAATGTTTTTTGCAGCACCCTGTATATTTAACGGCAAGGTTGTTGCCAGAAAACTACCAACAAATACAGATCATTGCATTGGTTACGAAAAACCCTCCGTTTGAATGCAGGCAGGCCCGTCCATAGGGGAGTGCTGGCCGCCGGGGCAAACCGCACTGTGTTGGTAACCCTGATTAAGCCTTCGACCTAAACCGTCGGTACGGAGTCACGTCTGGCACCGTGACGTCGAAGCGCGGGGCCCGACCCCCCCCCACCCCCGTTGTCACACGGCGTCACAAAAAGTCAGACCCCCCCTCAAATATGACGTCACAAAGCCCTGCCCCCCCCCCCCCAAAATAAAACATGCTTCAAATCGCTTGAAACTATTGCCATTGTAGTGCGTATTTAATGTGGCGCTGCACTCTGATGTTGTAGGAGAAAACATGTATTTAAAAGTCTATTTAATTAAGTAGAACGTGCTGTCTATATTTATTTAAAGTTGCGCATTTTGATGTGACGTCACATTTCTCACCCCCCCCCCCCTCGTCACACATCGTCACAAATGTCTGACCCCCTCCCCCCTAGGTGCGTGACGTCATTTATGGACGGCCCCTTTGCGCTTAAGATCCTGCAATTAAATCTGTAAATGACGCGAAAAACCCCGTCAGCACAGAAGCAGTACAGCCCGTTTCAAACACCAGACTAAAAGGTGTGAATAGCACTCCACTTTTAAGCGTTCTGCTAAAAGACCCCGTTAACGGACAGCGTGCCCTACTCACTATGAAGCCCGGGCTATGGGAGTTGATTGCAATGACGATCAAACTTCACGATTCTGTCTCTATCATACGTTATGGTTTTGTATTTCGCTCTATGAGCTCCCTACACCTTGCGATTGATCAATCGTCCAATTATGTAGTATTTGCTCAATTAATGTCCCATTGCGTGTTATAACATCTTCAGTCATTAATGCTCTAAAGCTTTTACAGAGTTACGTGTCGTATGATTAGCACGGTTGGCTACGTACGGTGCAAAATAAGTTAAACAAACATACTCTACGTGGATTCTATGTTTATAGTTTCCCATTTCCATCCACGTTCATTACTCTCCTTTTCGGCAGCGTGAATTGTGTGACTTTAGCTCTATTTTACGTTTGTTTTCAAAAGCTGTGCACGCTCTCCCCTTGCCCATCGCTATCTGTGGGAAAATAAGTTCGACATCCATTGAATTACAGTGCATTGCACAAAGACACAACAACAACAATTATTCTATGGTTCTTTCGGTAAAGTAACGTATAAAGATAAAATAATGAATTAAATAATAGCATTCATTCGACGTTTTGAATGCAACACAAGCAATCACCATCAGGTATAAAAGAAATAGCAACACAAATCTAACCAGAAAACTATAGACAGACATATAAGCAGACAGATATCACAAAGATACACAGAGAGAGAACACGTATCGGCACAAAGAGAGAGGGATCGTCTCTGTGACGGGGCCTTAAATATAGAGAGGGGGCGGGGGCCTCGTCACAGAGACGATCCCTCTCTCTTTGTGCCGATACGTGTTCTCTCTCTGTGTATCTTTGTGATATCTGTCTGCTTATATGTCTGTCTATAGTTTTCTGGTTACATTTTTGTTGCTATTTCTTTTATACCTGATGATGATTGCTTGTGTTGCAATCGAAACGTCGTAGTATGCTATTATTTAATTTATTATTTTATCTTTATACGTGACTTTACCGAAAGAACCAAAGAATAATTCCTGCAGTCACGAAAGCTCCAAAATTAAGAACAACAACAATGCCCTCTTCGTCACGCTCGTGACTCACAACGCCGCATTCCCCGTCTGAAGGACTCGGGCAGCAACGTCTTCTCTCCCCCCCCCCCCACACAATGTTTTTAATCAACCATCGATTATTTATTTTAACAATTTGGTAAACTATATAGCGATCACTGGCGGCTGCAGGTACACCCTTAAACCATTTCGATACACTAATAGAATCAGAATGTTTATTAATACTGGAGGAATCCGATGAGCAAGAAAGCTCTTTTGACAGATACTCTCTGGTTCTTTCGGTAAAGCCACGTAGGTATAAAATAAAATAAATCACGACGTTTCGATTGCAACACAAGCAATCATCATCAGGTGGGAAAACCACAAAGCAGATGTCTAGTAGGGGCGGGTAAGAGCGTTATAACAACAAACGGTAAAAAGGATACGAGTGCAAAGTACAAGAAAAGTAAGCAAATCACCCAAACGCATAAAATACAACTAAACCATCCCCATCCTACAAGGAAAAGCCCACTGAGGTATTAACTTATTGTTAAGAAGCGACCTGGCCACAAATGATAGCTCAACAATGTGGCCCATAATTTTGACATTTTTTGCAGCAATTTTTTAAAAAATAATCTCAATGCATGTTTCGAAATTCGGAGGGGAAAACCGGAGACAATATATACGGATACAAAACTTGGCTTTCTTAAACATGCGATTAGAATCATGTTGCATGACCTTCTTTCTTATGACTGCTGCTGTAGATGTAGAACAACAAAGACAATCACACACGCACGTGGTCAAGCCAAATAAACCGCGTCGTCAGGAGTAGCGGAGGGTATCGCCGTGACGTCTCCTTCGTAATTTGTGTATCGGGCATTGCATCGTCATATGTTGTACTACGGTATGTTCTTGATGACCACAGTCGCACACTCGTGGAGAGTTTTTAAATGTCCATTTGAGCATCAGGTTATTCGCATCTACTGCCGTGGTCTGTGCAGTAGATGCGATTTATGGTGAACCATGCGCTTCGTGGAATATCAAAACCAGGGATCTTCTACGTTGGGTGGTTCTTAATCTTACGAAGCATGAATCGATGTATTGACAGAACTCTCCCCCCACTATGTGTTCACCAGACCGTGTGCTTGTCTTTGCCCTCAAGGGACACAAATGGGCTGGGTGGGCATAACCCTGAGCGGTGTTTGCTGCCGTCACCGTGAGCTCATTATGAGCCCGTTCCACCTCCCCCACACCCCTGGTGTTGTCTGCTCGGCGAGGTCCCAAGGTCAGGGGGCAGGGCAGGATGGGTTCGTGGAGCTGGGAGTGTGCCGCTGCTGGGAGTGTGAAAGTAGTTTAGGCACCACGGCGAGGCTGTGAAATCCCAACTCCAGCAGCAAAGCTCGTCTTCGGAATACCGGGCACCCAGTGAATCCGTTTTATTTATTTTTATTAAAAAACAAACCGTATCTTGACAGGTATGATAGTTTGTCTATTTACAGCTTGTGGTGTTATTCTGATGCTTTACATGCATTAAAAATCTATTGAGAATTTTTTTTTAAATAAAACATCACCGCCGAAAACAGCTAAAATCATCGGATAATTATTCTCAAACGCACGATTCATTGCTGCAGTACTGTACTGTAGTTCAAATCTCGATTGAAATCTCATTTCTTCAGAACTTCATTGTGTGTTTAGTTTGTTGTCCTTCCCCCCGCACCTCGGATTAGCGCGGTCGGTTACGTACGACGCGAAAGAAGTTCAACATACAATACAGTACGTAGTTACTGTCCATGGCGATGCGTGGGCAAGCGGCAGCTGACAGCATGGCTCTCTCTCTGCACGCCCTTACATTTCTGAGCTTCAGGATTGCGATTCCTGAAGTCGAAAACGTGTCTGGTTCCCTGCATTATGTAGAGCAGGGGTCCTCAAACTTTTTAAACAGGGGGCCAGTTCACTGTCCCTCAGACCGTTGGAGGGCCGGACTATAGTTAAAAAAAACTATGAACAAATTCCTATGCACACTGCATATATCTTATTTTGAAGTGAAG